GAAAACAGAAACATAATGTTTCCAACAGTGATGTTAGCTGAGTGAAGCAACTGCAAACCAAGAAACGGGATGCAACGGAGTAGTTTACTGTAGGAGGCTGTATGAGGCGATGACAACTGACATGCATCGTGACATTGCTTACATTGTGACGTAATGCAAATTTGTTAGATTACGAGGGGGCAGACTAGAATGGCGCAGTGGCGCCAATACATTGTGACGTAATGCAAAAAGTGCACATTATCGTCTGATAAAGTACTGTCGGCGCCTTTGATCTTTCACCGAAGCATCCTAGAATTGCGTATCCATCTGTGCTGATGTTACATTGTACTGGTGTTATCAATTTTTACTATAACTTGAGTCAAGGGTAGACAAAAACAGCAGGCTGATATTATCAAGAAATGACCATTTGGGTACGATGACAGAATCAATAAGCCAGAGCATGCCAATGATTAACATGCTTAAGTGGTTTGATGCACCTCGTGAGGTAAAATCCATTTAATTTTTGTATTGGAATTACAACTGAAAAACTCTCAAAATAGTTTTATACACTAAAAGTGTGCAACCAACCACCCTGACACTAAGTGTGCAACCAACCACCCAGACACTTAAGTGTGCAACCACCCTCCCAGACACTAAAAGTGTGCAACCAACCACCCAGACACTTAAGTGTGCAACCAACACCCAGACACTAAGTGTGCAACCACCCACCCATACACTAAGTGTGTAACCACCCTCCCAGACACTAAAAGTGTGCAACCACCCACCCAGACACTTAAGTGTGCAACCACCCACCCAGACACTTAAGTGTGCAACCATCCTCCCAGACACTAAAAGTGTGCAACCACCCACCCACCCATACACTAAAAGTGTGCAACCACCACCCAGACACTAAAAAGTGTGCAACCACCCATCCAGACACTTAAGTGTGCAACCACCCTCCCAGATGCTAAAAGTGTGCAACCACCACCCAGACACTTAAGTGTGCAACCACCCTCCCAGACACTAAAAGTGTGCAACCACCCACCCAGACACTTAAGTGTGCAACCACCCTCCCAGACACTAAAAAGTGTGCAACCACCCACCCAGACACTTAAGTGTGCAACCACCCTCCCAGACACTAAAAGTGTGCAACCACCCACCCAGACACTTAAGTGTGCAACCACCCACCCAGACACTAAAAGTGTGCAACCAACCACCCAGACACTAAAAGTGTGCAACCAACCACCCAGACACTTAAGTGTGCAACCACCCTCCCAGACACTAAAAGTGTGCAACCAACCACCCAGACACTAAGTGTGCAACCAACCAACCAGACACTAAGTGTGTAACCACACACCTATGTGCTCAGTCATCAGAGCAATAAATTACTTCTTTAACCCACATTCAATGCCATTGTGACAGTGTGCTACAAATTACTTTGCTATGTGTATTCAGTGCACAAATAATATGACTGGTTGAATGAATAAAGATCTCTAAACACTACTCTGATTTCTAGTAACTGACTGACTGAGTTTGGTTTTACGCCGCTTTTAGCAATATTCCAGCAACATCACGGCAGGGGACACCAGAAATGGGCTTCACACATTGTACCCATGTGGGGATTCGAACCCGGGTCTTCGGCGTGACGAGCCAACGCTTTAACCACTAGGCTACCCCACCGCCCCGATTTCTAGTAAATGTACATGTATTCATGAATCCCTTAGCTTGACTGACAAGCATGGCTTCCCTGGTTATAACCCCACCTGGTTTTAACACCCAAATCCTCTTGGGCAAATGTAAACGTTAACACAAGGGTTGTCTGTACAACTTGAAATCAAATCATCTAGACAAGGTTCTGCTCTTTTGTTTGATGTGAATACAAAGGACAGAGAGGTGTAATCTGATTGGTCATTGGGTGAAACATGGACGGGACATAGCCCAACATATGAGGTAGCCTTGTGGTTAAAACGTTAACTTGTCACACCGAAGCCCCAGGTTCGATTCTCCATATGGGTATAATGTCTGAAGCCAATTTCTGGTGCGCTCTGCTGTTATATTGCTGAAATACGTCTTAAAGCAGCATAAGACGATCCTCACTCTCTCAACATATGAACTAGTCCTCTTGAACACTCATTTAAGAAACCCGTGAAGATCCGGGTTAGAATTGATCTTCAGTAACCCATGCTTGTAAGAGGTGACTAACGGGATCGGGAGGTCAGGCTCGCTGACTTGGTTGACACATGTCATAGGTTCCCAAATGCCCTGTTTATCATGCTGTTGATCACTGGATTGTCTGGTCCAGACTTGATTATTTACAAACCTGCACCATATAGCTGGAATATTGCTGAGTGCTGCATTAAACAACATACAAATATTTTATTATGTGCCTTTCTTTGCTTTGCTATTTGAAAGTATACCACATTGAACGAAATGTTTGTAATTGACACTGTATTTTGGAATTTCAGCTGATGATGACGACACTGAAACAACATACAAAAGGAGAAAAAGAAGAGGAAAAAGGATCAAAATTGCCCAGAATAAATCCAATGTGCTTCAGAGTGAATCAAAACTGTTGGATGTAAAATCTGAATCCTCAAGACAAGCAGACAATACCAATTCTGGGGAACTTACAAAACTGACCAAAAATCAGAAGAGGAAGTTGAAGAAAAAGAAACGGAAAGAGAAATTAAAGGAAAGCTTGTCTTGTGACCTCAATACTGAGTTTGTGTATGCAAGACCATGTAGCCATTGAACTAATGCAAGGTTAGTGTGTGTGAAACATGTGACCATTGACTTCAACAAAGAGTTTGGTGTGTGGAGGAATATGTGACCAAACAAAATGTTTGTGTGATGAATGTATGATGTCCACACAGTTTGTGTTTGAAGATTTTGTAACTACTGAATGAATTTGTGTGGAAAGATTATTGAATCAAAATGGCTATTCAATGTTTTTGCAGTGCTATTTTGTTTAGGAAAATTTGTATGAACCTTGCCATGGTCCAAAAGTTTACTTTGGTTTGAGAGCAGTCAGCATTTGCTGACATTTGTTTTGTCCATCAACAGATTCTTTTGTTTGGAAAATAAATAATTAATATTTATTGACATGTCCATGCTATCATTATGTTTCCATTGATTGATTGTGTAATGATTAAACTACAAGAACTGAAACAAAACAAAAATAATAATGAAAGGAACTTATTAAATCAGGAGATAAACATACTAAGTTTTCAACATATAGCTAGGTTACCACTGAATAAACCATGCTGAAATGAATTCAAATTGGATGTGTATTTGACTTTAAACAATGTTAAGTGGGTATAATTGATAGAAATTCAAATAGACAAGACTGTTTTGACAGAATATTATTGAATATTAATGTGTAAAATTCTTGCTCTCATAAGTGCAGGAAATGAATATGACATCTTCCCAAAGAGTCAGGTCAGAATGTATGGTGAAAATTGTAATATTTTGATTAGGCCAGACCAATTTTATTTCTTGTTTTAAGGATCCGACAGTTGTAATTTTTCCATACATTGATTGTAGATATGCACGTGTTATGATCAAATGCACGTACCCGCCATTAAGCAATTATCATGTTTCATAAAACTATTCTTACAGCTCGAACATTTGTCAAGTCAGTTGTTTTCGTTGTTGATAAGTAAGTATAGGGCCTCAACATTCATCGACTGTCAGCCGACTGGCCAGAAAACATCAGCAAAGTAATGACATTCAGGATCATCAGCATTCAGGACCACGAGTCACAGCTCCAAGGGAGGATGCAGCTCTTTTCAGAACCACAAGACTTCTTCCATTTTAGGGGCGGTGGAGTAGCCTAATGGTTAAAGCGTTGGCTCGTCACGCCGAAGACCCGGGTTCGAATCCCCACATGGGTACAATGTGTGAAGCCCATTTCTGGTGTCCCCCGCCGTAATGTTGCTGGAATATTGCTAAAAGCGGCGTAAAACCAAAGTCAGTCAGTCAGTCAGTCTTCCATTTTACGTTGAGTGGCCTGTTAAACAGTGTGGCTTCCACATCATCGATTTTGTCATGACTGATGGCCAAGCTCATGTTTGGCGTCGCAGGAACACCGCATGTGTTCAAGGGAATATCTTGAAATAAGTACCGTTGGGTGGGTGTTTATTGATGGTGTGGGGATGGCTCTCGCATGATTGTAAAGGTGACCTTGTGACGATCAGGCAGAATATGAATGGACATCATTGACATCCTGGACATGGTGGTTGTACCACATTTAGATGACCATCCCCTGAACACATTGGCCAGTCATTATGGATGACAAATCCAGGCCACATTGTGCGCGTGTCGTCAGTGATTTACTCGTCTTGTTGTGTTGGAACAAGCCCACTATCAAAAATTGAATGCAATACCTCAACGTCAAATTGAACGTCTTATACAGTCAATGAGCAGGATGGTCAGGGATGTTATTTCAGTTAACTCATGTAACACCAGGTATTAACATCGTGCTCGGTTATTGATATTCCTGTGATTTCTTGAGGACTGTTTGCCAGAATCTTGAAGTGAGTGAGTGAGTGAGTGAGTTTAGTTTCACGCCACTTTTAGCAATATTCCAGCAATATCACGGCGGGGGACACCGGGAAATGGGCTTCACACGTTGTACCCATGTGGGGAATCGAACCCGTGTCTTCGGCTTGACGAGCGAAGCTTTAACCACTAGGCTAACAACCCCCCATGAAAATGACCGCACTTAATTGTTAACGTCATACGACAATGTTCATACGTCTAATCAGAAATAAACTACTGTGTTTCGTTCTTTTTTGCGTTTAGATTTGCCATTTGATTGTTCTTAAGGCTCAGTTTATCCAGATAGTAAGTCCAGTTAAATTTGTATAGTTTCCTTTGCTATGGTTAATGGTAACATATTGTTTTTACGAAAAGTTTTGGGTGTTGCGCTACTTTTTTCCATGTGTATATTTGAAAAGGAAATAAGAGTTGTGAATGACCACCACAACCTGCATACAATTAGGTTTCGATGCATGGTCATGCTTCACTGTTTGGCCTCATAACGACTCCCGCCGTCAGCGTGACCCGGCCAGGTGTGAAGTCTAAGGTTGAATTTAGTTCGATCTCGGTTGCGATGGACCTGGTGGTTGTATATCTACTCACCCTTGTCATAGGCTTATTACTCTGGCTACTTTACCAGAAATGGTCGAGCAATCGAAAATGCCCTCTACCCCCGGGGCCCTCTGGTGTGAGGGTGTTCTCAGAGATTATCAGCGCCCTCCAGTCTCAGAGGGTCCACTTGTCGGCGGAGAAATGGGCCCAGAAGTATGGCGATATGTTTTCTGTGAACGCCGTCGGGAAGACGATGGTGTTTTTGAACACATCCGAATTGGTCCGAGAAGTCATGAACGGTGCGGACTACAAAGCAGTCACCAACGACCGACCCGCGACGTTCTTCGGTAAATACGTGGCCAACAACTATAGTAACATCACAGAGTTCGTGACGTACGACAGCACGTTGGTGTATTTCAGGAAAATGTTCCACAACTCCCTGAAACTTTACGGGGACGGGGTTCACAGTTTTGAAGCCTTGGCGTTAGATGAGCTCCAAAACGTTGGCCACAATCTCAGGACGTCTTTCGGAAATGTTGACATGGAAACAGTGTTTTCGGAGTCACTTTTACGTGTCATTCATATCCTGGTAGGTGATGGTACATATTCTTGTTCAGTGAGTAAATGTCGTCTTTGTTTAACAAACGAAAAATATTTTGCATTTCTTTTTTACGTCTCTTTTGTAAAAGTTTCCACAGTTTCTAAAAGTTTGAGGGGCGATGGGTAACCTAATGGTTAGGGCGTTCGCTCGTCGCGCCTAAGGCCCGGGTTCGATTCCCCACATGGGTACAATGTGTAAAGCCCATTTCCCGCCGTCATGTTGCTGGAATATTGTTAAAAGCGGCGTAAACCCATACTCACTCACTCTAAAAGTTTGAAAGTGTGATGACGATGAAACCGGTATCCTAAGAATCGCTAGAAAGAATTTCCCTTCCTGTTATTCAGTACTTATAGTTTAACAACACCGCGTGCTCCTGGTTTAACAGCACATCATGTTTCTGTGTTTAACTCATGAGTAAATCATTTACGATCTCCATCACTGGAAGCTTTCCTTCCACAAGACGCAGACACATTAAGCTCTCTCGGGATTACTGCTCCTAGCGACAATGAACCCAGCCAACTCACTATCTTCGTGGAGCGGTGGGGTAGCCTAGTGGTTAAAGCTTTCGCTCGTCACGACAAAGATCCGGGTTCGATTCCCCACATGAATACAAAGTGTGAAGCCCATTTCTGGTGTGTCCCGCTGTGATATTGCTGGAATAGTGATAACAGCAGCGTAAAACTTAATTCACTCACTAACTTCGTCATCATGTACTTCGTGTAGACATCTTAATATCTATATAGATGTACCTCACATGTCGAGGGTAATTTCGTGTGTCGGTTGGTGTGTCTGTATGTCCACAGTGGCACCATCCACAAAGCCTTGGCCGTTGGTCAGCTAGACCCTTAACTCCCGCCTGCCTTTAGCAATATCCTGACGGGGCACACCAGAAATGGGCTTCACAATTTGTACCTACTCGGGAATTGAACCTGGGTTTTAGCGTGACGAGCGAACCTACCCACCGCCCTTCAGCCAGTGAGACAAGTAGACGAGCAGACATGGTAACCCATTCTGGCGAGTTATGCTACCACACCTTCGGGTTTGTGACCCCTTGTCATTTATGCGAGAACATTTGTCTGTGTACATGCATACCAATCAAGCATGGGTTATGTGATTCAGGACATACTGTCTGATTATACTCATGGTGTAAAAGTAAATGAGTGAATGAGGTTTTACGCCGCTTCTAGCAACCCCAGTGGCGGACTTTAGCTCTTTGGGTTGAGGCACTATCCACTGCACCAAGGTAAAGTTATATATAAAACCTACCTTGGTGCATCCACTGCACCAAAAATGGTAAGTTATATATAAACGTCCCTCCTTGAGTGCAGTGGATAGTGCCTGCTCAACCCAAACTGAAGCTGGTTTTATAGTGCTATTTCCATGCCGCAGTGAAGCATTCGGTACTGACTCCGAGCCGACCAGTCCTTGCTAAAATGTGTCAAAACGATGGTATCAAACCCTTGATGTTACAATGCCTGGTGCTCGGACTGATCGGTATCCGTATATGTTGTAACCTGGATACAACACGTATACATTATCTGAGTAAGATGTCTGTGGTAAACTGTGGCATGGATTCTAAGTTAGCATTATAACACCGGCGTCAGTACGGACAAGCAGAAACAACCATGTGCAATTGCATGCAATAGCTGAGTGAAATGTTCTTGAAAGTCACTTTAAACCCTATTTCACCATGTTTTCGGGGCGGCGGTGTAGCCTAGAGGTTAAAGCGTTTGCTTTTCACGCCGAAGACCCGGGTTCGATTCTCTCTCCACATCAGTTCAATGTGTGAAGCCTGTTTCTGGTAGCCCCTGTCGTGATATTGCTGTAATATTGCTTAAGTATACGTTAGCACCCTCCTCAAGGGTGATATGGATTTCAACGCTCGAGCCGTTAGGCGAGTGCGTTGAATCCATATCACCACGCAGAGGTGAAGTGGGGTGGTGTGGGTGCTAACCTACTTATACCACGTGGGCGCCGAATGGAATCGTACATTGCTTGTTGCACGTGCGTTTCCTGCACCGCCAAGGTTGTTATCCACATATCAACCTCTGCACGTGCAGATAGAAGGTTGATACACAGAAAATCAACCTGCCAGAACAATGGACATAACATACCCTAGTGGTATAAAGCATCGTAAAGCCATACTCACTCGTGTGTAATGAGTCAGAAGGGGTATAGTTCCAAGGCGGAAGTATGGGCAACATTTTGGAAACTACATCCTCAGTGGATATTGGCTTAACTGGAGTAGGCAAGTCTTACAAGTTGTGTACAGGATCCGCAGAAAACTGATGAAAGTGTTGTGACAACAGATAACAGGCGAGAGTGCCGACAGGGAGAGTGACATCATAGATAACATGAGGAACTACAACTTGTGGGGTAATCGCCTGAACGGCTTCGACGTCCAGACGGTGCTCGCAGCGTTCCCTCTGTTGAGGCACTTCCCGATCAAACATGGCCGCATCTGGCAGAACGCTGTCAAGTATAGGGATGCCGTGGCTCGAGTATTTGTCAAGGATCGGAAGGTGAGGAGCTCTTTCTTCTATTGTCGGTAAAAGGTATGTGTTAGTTTGTTATGATATATTTACCTATTCAATTCTTAAAACAGATATTTTCAACAATTATTTAAAGGGTTTTGGATGGGAGCATGCTGCGTCGGCACTCTTATTCGATCATCATCTATACGACTACTGAGCTCTACCTTGTAAATAGCTGTCACGTTGCTGAATGCGGCGTTGAACAACAACCAATCCAATCTAATCCATATCAAACCGAAACATGAGTCTCATTAACCTATTCAGACAATGACCTACTTTTCAGCTGATCCGAATTTTCTCGTGTGACAGTGAAAAGAGACACCACAAACAACTATGGTTACACTGAATTCCAATTCCATAAGGAAATGGTATTTACAAGTTAATTTTAATTTTAAACTTTAATAACAGCTTGACCTTAACTAAGACGTCACAGACTGCCCCTGTTTGGTGAGGTCGTAAAATGATTCACAATTCATCTGGCTCACTGGTTACACCTGTTATGTGTTTTTTGCAATTATTGAGTGTAGTTTTGTAACGCACAATGTGATTGATATAATATCAAGTCCGTACCAGACCGCCAAACTTTTCTAGCTGCAGAGCCTCTTTTTGAGATTTCGACGATTTCCGTTTGTCAGAGCACGCTGTACGACAGAGCACGCTGCACGACGTGTTTGCAAGGAATAGAAGGAGCATAGTGTTGCAATGTAAAAGTGCTTAGATGTATCAAATAATACTGATTAATACTTATGTATCCAGTTAAATTAATTGGTCTCAAAATTCTGGACTGGTTATTGTACTAAGTTGCGCAAAAGGACGGAACCTAGTCAGCAGGAAAGGAGACTGTTGTGTAATCAATGTTTTGACTTGCCTTGTAAACACCAATGTCCCGTAGCCTCGGGTTCGATCCCCCACATGGGTACAATGTGTGAATCCAATTTCTGGTGTCCCCCGCCGTGATATTGACGGAATATTGATAAGAGCGGCGTAAAACTAAACTCACTCACTCGCTATGATTTAGGCGAAATCATGGATCCTTTAGAAAGGCAGCCTCAAATACCCAGCTCCCGCATAACTGGTCCCTCAACATACATGCACAACAGTTATATGTTACTCTGCCGATTTGTATACCCTCAGAAGCGAGACACCCCCGGGGACGACCTGGGTGGGGTGGTGTCGGTGCTGCTGCAGGAGCAGAGACGGAAACAGCAGCAGGCAGGTGCTCGGGGACTCACGGATGACGAGATATCCGCCATCACGCTCGACATGAGTGCGGCAGGTGAGATGTTGGGATTATTTGTTTGTTGTTTAATGTCGCACCTAGAAATATTCCAGCTATATGACTGCGATCTGTAAATAATCGAGTCTGGACCAGACAATCCAGTGGTCAACAACATAAACATCGATCTACGCACTTGGGATACGATGACATGTGTCAACCAAGTCAGCAAGCCTGACCACCCGATTCCGTTAGTAGCCTCTTACGACAAGCATGTGTTGCTAAAGAACAATTCCAACCCTGATCTTGACGGGTGGAGACAAGCATGTGTTGCTGAAGACCATGATCTTCACGGCTACTATCCCAGGTCAAGGTAGCATCCCATCATCGGCCCGACATCGGCTGATAGCATCGTCGGCTAATATCGGCATCGTTGAACAGCGCTGGACCGATATCGATCCGATGAGCAAATCTTCATCTACCCGACGTCGTCGGGCCTATGATGGCATGCTACCTGGGGTACGTGTTTAACAAGCAGATGCGAGTTAGATACGATAAGAAAGCAACGAGTTGTAAGACAAATGAGAGACGATCTAGTCAGATGTAGGTCATCTCACGCAAAACTTAAAACAACATCTATCACGGAAATTAGCACGAACGTATTATCATCTTCTTATATTGCATATTACATACTGCACTCTTAAAACAGTAAAAGGACCATTACATAAAATTAAAAGCCAGTCTACTTGGGAATAACTATAAATATTTTGTAAATATATCTAATATCTGAAAAATATATTAAAGTATCCCGTGTTAAACCTATAACTAAGACCCAGGTAATATTTCCCATAAATATTACAGACACACGTGATGAATCTTTTATGCATTTCTGTAAACATCTGTTATTAAAACAAACGCTATAGACAATATGATCACCACTACTGTTCCAGCATACCTGACTTCGAAAGGGGCTCTTGTAGGGATGTTCCTGTCGTTTCTGCATTACCCACATATTCAGGAAAGGATATATAACGAGATCGCGGCCAAAATAGGAACTCGTCACCCTGTCATTGAGGACCGCTCCAGTCTTCCTTACACCGAAGCAACAATTCTAGAATTGCTGAGGTACATCAGTCATGCGGTGCTGGGAGTTCCACACTGCTGTAGAGAGGACATTGAAGTAAGGGGTTTCACCATTCCAAAGAACGCTATGGTACGTATGGTATAACTACTGATGGGTCCTGAACATGATTCATGGTCGACCATTAATGTTCTTGGATATGCTTCTGATAAAGATTCAGAAAAGTGCTTATAATATAGTCGGAATCGGACAATGGACTCGGCTGTTACTGCTGAGTGTTAGTTTAGTGTGTGACGCCGCTTTTGCCAATATTCCATCAATATCACGGCGGGGACACCAGAAATTGGTTCACACATCATACCCATTTGGGGAATCGAACCCGGGCCAATAGGCTATCCGACCACTCCCTTAGTAGAGATTCCTTAGGAATACTGCTGTGCGGTGTCAGGCAACTAGTGGCGGTGCTCCCTGTGGGACTGGGCACATTACACATTCTCGGACTCTTGGTGCCATCAGTATTCAGTGATCCGTCCATAAACGTGCCACATCTATGTTACCGTTAACAAGTATCCAAGATTCGTCCAGACTATTCTGCTTCGTTAGTCAGAACTATGCATGTGTTATCAGGTTTCACCCAAAACAGACACCCGGCGATTTGACTGTAATATAGTTCAAAGCGGCGTAAAAACATACTCACTCACTCTGTTCTGTGTCAGGTGGTTCCTAACCTGTGGTACATTCACCACGACGAGGCTGTGTGGGGAGACCCGTGGAAGTTCCGCCCGGAGAGGTTCCTACGAGATGACGGGACCCTCCTGGGCGGGGAACACCCCCTCAGGCGGAAGTGAGTACAGACCGTGTAGGGAGACACCCATATGATATTCTTTGGGAGTGAGAGGTCGAGGTAATGGGGGATTGGGTGGGTTTGTTTTTGTAAAAAAACCCCACAGCAACATGATCTCAAGGCTTTGAAAATAATATTTTGGGTTCTATTCGGCTTATGTTTTGACTTTTGTATTCAAAGAACATAAATAATAATAAAAAAAAACATCCGGACTTTCACGATCTCGTAAGCGACGCTCTGAAAGGCCATATGGGCGTGACAAGTGATGAGATGCGGTCTTTACGTAGCGGTATCGAATAAACAAAATCTGATTTTAACAAGATTGACTTAATAAGAAAATGAGGAGTCCAGTTTGGGTCCGTTGGCAGATCTACGCATTATTCAGTAAATACAACCTTCCATTACATGAAACCATGTTATGAACCTGCTTATCTTCTTGAACAGTCTACTGCCGTTTGGAACCGGAAGACGTCAATGTCCTGGCGAAACCCTTGCGAGATCGAGGCTCTTCCTGTACGTCACGTTCCTGTTACAGCGCTTTGTGTTTCTGCCACCAGAGGGCGACACTCTCCCACCTCTTGACCCGAGTCTATGGAACCCTGGCATTATCATTCAGCCGCCGAAGTTCACCTGTAGGATCGCTTGTCGTCAACAGACGTGAGCAAGCGCTCCCTTCTTATAGATACTTTTTGTAGTGTTGGATTTGATTTGCCATCTTCAGATAAATAACTAAATAATAAGAAATGATCTGAATGTTAATAATGTAGACATTCGGGTTACGTCGTATGCATGTCAGTACGTGTGGCTACGGTCTAGCTTGACATATTAATAACCCGTGAGCAAGTGAGTTGGGTGGTGAGGTGAGGTGAGGTGAGGTGGGATTTAACGATAGGATCCAGATGTATGTGTGTGTGTGTGTGTGTGTGTGTGTGTGTGTGTGAGTGAGTGAGTGAGTGAGTGAGTGAGTGTGAACCGCCCGGATTCTTAGTGCTAGGCCGATGAGTTACCATGTCGCCAGTTACCCCACTCACACACTGCATTACTGTTGTGTCCTCTTGATGCCGAACGTCAGTCAAATAACCAGCAGGTATAATCTTTTTATTTTCATCTGGTATTGTCGTAACTGCGAACGGGTCGTCTGATGACCCTACAACAGTTACCTGCTCGTATTGCCGTTCCACGTCAGGGGCGGATACAGCTTTTTGAGAAAGGGGGGGTGCACACTATTGAGAAAAGGGAGGGTGCACACTTCATTTTCACCCGAGTTTCAATGGTCATTTAATAAACTTTCAGGACAAAAGGGGGGTGCGCACCCCTGCACCCCCCCTCTGGATCCGCCTATGCACGTGGTCAGGTTAGGTGAAGAGCCGTGACCCTGGTCTGTCGAGGGTCGTTCGTCAACAACCTTACTCCCAACTTTGAACATCACATTCATGCACTGGCGCACATTCATAGAGTGATCAACGCATCATTAGGTTTTATGCTCACACTTTTCCTCAGTCCATCTCTCCAGATTACATCTCCAACACAAGTAAGGTTAGGCTCGTTCCATCTCGGGGTCTGAATGACGCCTCGGTCAGTGTAAAAGCCATTGCCATACAGACCCTGAAACAAATATATCCAAGAAAGCCCATGCAAGTCTAGAATACAATGTTTGTGGTAAGTCTACATTTCAACAGTTTCTGAAATGAAGAAAGTCAGGGCTCCTTTTCATTATATTATATTTTTTTTACTATGAACTGGTTTTTTTCTGTAAAACATGTTCATTTCAGAGACTAGTTGTTAGTCTATGAAAACGCCTTCAAGCCTCTACTCGTGTTAAAGGCATCTTTTAAACACGCCCATTTCTGGTGTCCCCCGCCATGATATTGCTAGAATATCGCTATAAGTGGAGTAAAACTAAACTAAACTCACTCACTTTTTTAGCGGTTTGAGTCTGACCTGACTTTCATCACATGTTCCAATACACTTTTTTGACTCGTTAAAAACTCGTCCTTTCGAATCAGTATCAAGGCGAAACTATTGTTGGAGGGTGGTTCAAGGGTGGTTCCAGGTATCTACATGCAGTTGTCAGGATTCGCTGCTTCACGTTCCAGTCTCGGCTTCACCATGCTAATCTGGTGCATGATTAACCAGATCCTCATATTGCTCAAAGATTTAAGGAAGTGATTGGGTGCTGACTTCAGTTACCCAGGGATACCACAACGGGGTAGACCAATATTGGGTACATATTGTACTGATTTAAAGAATCGGACCCGGGTCTTCAGCATTTGAGCCATACTGTTGAAAGCGCCGAATTATTGATCGAAGCGCACATGCAATCACACTAGAGTCACCTCCAATCCGTACATTTGCGGGAAACGTGTGATTCGCTGTGCTGTGATCCATCGGTGCTAAGCAGGAAATAATCAAAGAAATTAGGCTGCGGTCGAATGAATATCTTTTAAACTGCTGCTTGAAGGCAGAGCTTGTTCAGTTCGAGAAACCATCACGCTAATAATTTCAGTTTCGTGCTTTTCTGGTCAGTTTCGTACTCCAACGGACATGTGGTAACCATAAAGCCAAAACGTATTTTAAATTATTCCTTACATGCCATCGAGTGTTCTATAAACATAATCCTTACTCCGAAACATGGGACGTTCGCCGTTTGCTTCTTTGAAACCCACTTGTACTTGTTACATCTTTAATGTGCGTTCTTACGGTGCCTCCGTGGTGTAGTGGTTAGAGCGTCCGCCCGGAGAGCGGAACGACAAAACAAATCTGATCTTACCAGAAACAAAACTGACGATGTTTGAACTGAGAATCCCACATCGTTTTAGTCTTTCTTTTCTTGTTCCATAGTGACTGCGATAGAACAAGAAAAAATATATAATATAATGATATATTTTATATAATATCTCTTCAGGTAACTGTTCTAAACTAAATTTTGAAAATATTCCATACTGTTAAAAGGTACTGTTTACACATGAACTGATGTATTGTAAAACAAGGTCGTAACGTTGAAAAGATAATTGTCATGAGTTCAGTAAATGATAAAAATCAGTGAAAATTGGCCATTTCTTAACAAAACTTTACTCCAAAACGCAGCTGTTCACATATTTGCACGTTTTTCAGCAATTTGATGAATGATCCTCGTGCAATTCATCTGCATAAGGTTTGCAGTTGGTTCCCCCAAGTTAATGGAAAAATCAATCCTCGATGTAACCATATATATGTACATTACATAGAGTGAGTGTTTTAAGGAGGTCTGGGTGGTGGGGTAGCCTAGTGGTTAAAGAGTTTGCTCGTCATGCCGTAGACCCGGGTTCGATGCCCCACATGGGTACTATGTGTAAAGCCCATTTCTGGTGTCCCCCGTCGTGATGTTGCTGGAATATTGGTAAAAGCGGTGTAAAACCATTCTCACTCACTCACTCACTTTAAGGGAGTCTAAATATTTTTATGGGAAGTATATTAATATATTTTATATAATATCTCGTGAGATGCTAGATGAATGGGTTTTAAAAAGCACACAAACCCCCAAGTCGTTACGACTTACGACAAGTTGCACTGTGCGAACGTGCCTTTAGTGAGGTGAGGTGAGGTGAGGTGAAATTGTGTTTAACGTCGTGCTTGAGAATATTTCGCTCATATGACGACGTGCATGCGTGTGTATGTGTATGTGCGGCTGCTTGTTCTAGCCCAGACTGAAGCTGGTTTTATAGTGCTAGCCCACTGAGATACCATGCCGCAGTGAAGCATGAATGCCCCACTCAGACACATTATACTGACTCCGAGCCGACCAGTCCTTGTTGTACCCATTAATGCCGAACGCAAGGCAGGGACCATATTTTAACGTCTTTTGGTATGACGCGGTCGGGGATCGAACCCGCGACCTTCCGCTCTCCGGGCGGACGCTCTAACCACTACACCACGGAGGCGGTCCGCCTTTAGTGAGCCAAGTCGGGACTACTGCAATAGAACGCCGTACGGCTTACCAGGTACCAATCTCTACACACTCCAAGAGGGACAGAAAATGCCAGAATCGTCAGTGTAACTGTGTTGCCAACAGGAGGCTCTGGAATCCTTGTACTGGCTTCCTGTGCGAGCAGGAACATAATTCAAGATTCTTTCACGCACCTACCCCTCTTAGGTTTTATGGCTGATGTATTTTCCGGGTAGGTACAGCAACTGGTATCTGCTTATCTTGATCCCATGAGAACACTGCAACGTCACCTAAAATCATTGGGTCGCCGTTTATTCCGTTAAAGTTCTGAGGACCTCCCTGTCCTAAGCTATTTGGATCTTTTCACCACTAGTATTTGAAGAAACTCGTGAAACTCATTGCTGCCTTCATAAAACAATACCACATCTATGTTACCATTTACAGCAAAGCATCTAGGAATCGTCCTGAATATTGTTCTTCGTTTGTCAGAACGTGATAACTTTATATTTTTCAAAGAGACGTAAAGACATATTCACTCACTCTGTTCTATGCTTGTCGACGTTAGAGGCAATTAACGGGATCGGGTGGTCAGGCCCGCTGACTTGGTTGACACGTGTCATCTTATCCCAGTTGCGTAGATCGGTGCCCATGCTGTAGAGTTGACCTTCAGCTACCCATGCTTGTCGTAAGAGGCGACTAACGGGATCGGGTGGTCAGGCTCGCTGACTTGGTTGACACATGTCATCTTATCCCAGTTGCGTAGATCGATGCCCATGCTGTAGAACTGACCTTCAGTAACCCATGCTTGTCGTAAGAGGCAACTAACGGGATCGGGTGGTCAGGCTCACTGACTGTCATCGTATCCCAATTGCGTAGATCGATGCACAAGTTGTTGATCACTGGACTGTCCGGTCCAGACTCGATATTTCACAAATCGCCGTCATATAGCTGGAATATTGCTGAGTGCGGCGTTAAACAACAAACCAACCAAACATTTGAGGACCTTCCTCTTCACACAAAATACCACTCCAAGATTTCCATTGCTTCTGGTTCTATCATTGCTTGTGTGCATATAATGCAGCGATTTGAACAGATACTAACTGTTCAGAGGATTTAAATACGAATGCAGTCATCATCATCATCATCATCATCACCATCATCACCATCGTCGTCGTCGTCGTCATCATCATCACCATCGTCGTCGTCGTCGTCGTCGTCGTCATCAGTACTATTATTTCTGGAATACATGACACTGGGTGAACCCGTTGCCTTAACAGTGAGGCCCCGTTGTGGTCTTGTTGCAGATTTTGTGACCTCCAGTAGTTTCACCATTCCAGAATCAAAGTATATAAATATTTTTAGCAATTAATTTCACACTGTTTGTCGCCGAAGAAGAGGGAGTCTAACACACCTCCTGAAATCCCATGAAGCGTATTCGAGCCCCAGGTTTCAAGAGTAATATAGGTAATATGTGTGAGCTCAGGTCAGTTGAAGTTAAGCAACGTCGAGCCCGGGGAGTCCTTGGATGGGTGACCGTGTTTGACTCCTGAGAGTTTTTAGGACTTCGATCCTGACCTACAACGAAGCACATGTGATACATGTGGCGTCGCCTTAGGTAAGTGAGTTTGTTCAAAATGGCCTGTGTTCACCAAGCAGAAAATGGGTACCCGGTGAGATAAGTCATGTGACTATTAACCTTCTTATGCCTCACGGGTAGCTTGGGTTATCCGGTGTAATAACGATCACAATCTGATTGCAGCGTCAAGTGAGCAACTAAAGTACTGTTGGAAATAGAAAAAACCCTGTATTTTCTAATTTATCT